ATTGATGGTAATTATGTTATTAAAGTTTAAGAAACTGGTTTACTCTATAATGAGCGTCAGTGCCTTACAATGAAGCAACAATGAATTAATAACCATTTAATATGTGTCATGCTGCAGTATTACACCAGTGCTGAAATGACTGAGCAACAGAAGCAGAGATCGTGGCCTCAGGTTTTGTTGTCCTCGATCACTCTTGTTTTCAGACACTCAGGGAACGGCCTGCTGTGGGCGAAACATTTCCTGCTATAACCACACCACATCCTCTGAGCTGAGATTTTCAGTATTTTCATATGCACCGACCATCCCATAATACAGCAGTCTAGGAAAACTTCATGAGATCTGTACGTTGTCTGAAGAACATATACATGATTAAACTCACCACCATGATGTTAGGCTTTTGTGGGCGGTTGCTAGGGTGTTGTTTGTGGTTGCTAGGCTGATCTAAGAGATTGTTGCAGTGTTGCTATTCTGTGTGATGGTTACACCATTTTGAATTTATGCTAACAACAACTTAGGGACCAATTAGGAAATACCTAGCAACCACCCACAGCTCTCCGGAGCTATTAGAACAGGGGTCACCAATCTCGGTCCTGGAGGGCCGGTGTCCCTGCAGGCTTTAGCTCCAACTTGCTTCAACACAACTGCCTGGATGTATCAAGTATAGTAAGACCTTGATTAGCTTGTTCAGGTGTGTTTGATTAGGGTTGGAGCTAAAATCTGCAGGACACCGGCCCTCCAGGAACAAGTTTGATGACCACTGTATTAGAATGTTAAGTAGCCATTTGACGCCACTGTCTTGCATGGTTTGGGACTTGTGGAGCTGCGCATCGATGGATTTGCTTTTCAGTGTTTGGACTTTCAGTAGTGAAAATTAAACTCTGAAAACTGGACTGACAGTTTTAATTTACTAAAATTTCTATGTGAAGCTGCATTGACACAATCTACATTGTAAAAGCGCTATAAAAATAATAATGAAATGAAAAAATTGAATTAAAGCAATAACTTGCGGCCACACTCATACTCTAGAACACACTAGCCACTTTAATATTTTGAAGCCACATTTGTTAGTTGAGAAACTCAGTTTTCTTTTTAAAAAAGCCCTTATTATTCATTATAAAAGGAGACATTTTGGTTTTGGGGGTTCTCCAACAACAGGCTGACCTGCATGCAAGGTCAAAAACACTTTTGTTGTCTTATAATTTGCATTTTTTTTACCTAATTATCCCAACGACTCCAATATGATATGTTCAGCGATTCATTTGTTCCCAAACCCCTCCTTAGCGCGAAGCTAATTTACGCTGATTGGTCCGATGATCCAGTCTGTTGTGATTGGTTGACTGCATTCAGTGTGAGACAGAAAGAAACGCTCACCACGGCTATGAAGTAGCAGAGAGTATGTGAGAGCACAATGCAGGAATGCAATAAAGCAATGCAGTTTAACATCAGAATATAACTCCACTTGTAACGCTAATCCCAAGTGATAACAACGACACACATTTAGTATTAATCCACACAGTGGCAAAACTGACTGCACCGCGTGTGTGAGGAACAGCTGATGATGACTATGGCAAAGCTAAACAACAGACGTTCGCGAGTTCAGAAACGCATTTAAACTGGTAAAGGAAGAAGTACACGTTGTGTTTTCAACATGATTTTGGACACGATAGGCTCTATTTTGACGATCGATGCACAGTCCAAAGTGTAGGGTGCAAAATATAATATAAATAAATATAAATATAATTTTTTATTTTTTTTTTGCTTTGCATATCACCTCCTGTGATGTGACTACAGCGAGGCTGACTGGAGGAGAACCGGCTCGATCTGACCAATGGCAGCAGGACTACAGACTCTAAGTTGCCGTACGGTTCAAACACCTGCAGCGCGAATTATATTTACTTCTAAATGGCTTAAAGTAAGATTATGTATTAAATACAATCAAAAATATTAAAACGAAGGAGGTTTTTGCTATAATTTTAGTTAGTTTTGTATGTACACAACACAGATTCAAATATTTAATCAACTCTCGTTTTTGTTTTTGTTTCATTCATTCATTCATTTTCTTGTCGACTTAGTCCCTTTATTAATCCGGGGTCGCCACAGCGGAATGAACCGGCAACTTATCCAGCACGTTTTTACGCAGCGGATGCCCTTCCGGCCGCAACCCATCTCTGGGAAATATTTTTATTTTAGTTAACGACAATTATTTAACGTTTTCATTTTTTCAATAGTTTTCGCTAACTTTAATAACCTTGGTATGAACCCTGAACTATTTATTAGCAAGTCTCTTTAAAGGTCCCATTAAAATAAAGCTTTTGAGATGTTAGTATCAGTACTGTTGGTTTTTAGGATATCTCTAAGCAAGTGCACTCCAAAACTGACAAAAATTCAGGTTTAGGAGTTATAAAACTGGGTCCCACTTTATATTAAGTGTCCTTAACTACTAAGTACTTGCTTTAAAAAAGAAATACAATGTACTTAACATGTTGAAAATGTATTGCAGAACACTTCTGGTGCTCGAGTTGGGATACAGGTCAGGTTATGCACAGCATTGGTGGTATTGGTAGGTTTAAGTGTGGGTTAAGGTGTAAGGGATGGTCAAAAGTATAGTAACAAACGTAGTTACAGAAGTTAATTACAGATGTAACTACAAACAGGTATTTAATCAAGCGTAAATACAATGTAAAAACATGTATCTACACAATAAGTGCATTGTAATAAATTATTAAGTTCAGTGTAAGTACAGCACATATTAATTAGGGCCACTTAAAGAGCCCATATTATGGGTTTTTGAAAATTCCCCTCCATGTAGTGTGTAACACAGCTCTAAGTGAAGTGAAGTATCCAGCTAAGGCTTAAATAAGTGTACAGTGTTTAAAACGGTTGATTCATCTATAAAACAGTCGACTCATAGTGTTTCAAACGAGTCGCCTTAATACAGTCATTCGGTGTTTCGCCATGACGTACGAACGAAACCAAGTTATTCACGTGCACGCGCAAACCCGGGAGATTTCAAACCTGAGGCCCCGCCCTCTGACGCAGAAACCCAGACACACACACACACACACACACACACAAAACACACCCACAAACACACGCACACAAACATGCCGGATGATTAAAGTCACACTGCAGATGGATATTATCGAGTCTCTACCCAAAGATGAAACATCAGCATTATAACCAAGCAGTTGGAAACTTCTGGAAACTTCTGCAAACTACATGCTACAAAGAATACTTCATCTGAGTTTGTTAAAGAATCAGTAAAGAGTAACTTACTGATGGGTTCCTCCATTTCTCAAGTGTAAGTACGTGCGATTAAAGTTGTTGCCTCGTTGACTCTAGCTTGTAAATGTATTTAGTTGTGATTTATTACTTGTAACCGCGTGTACTGTATCAGGTTAACTGGCTATATTCTCTTATCGCGAGCAAAGTCACGTTAAAAACGCGACGCGTGCTGCTTTTTTTACGGAGCTCCGTGGACGAGGGTAGTGTGTGTGTGCATGCGCTGTCGTCCGGAGGTATGTGTGTGTGTTTGTGTGTGTGCGCGCGCGTTGTCGCCCGGAGGTGTGTGTGGACAAGGGCAATGTGTGTGTGTGTTTGTGTCTGTGAAAAGTGCAGAGTGAGACAAGCTATGAGATCTCCTCGACAGTTTTTGGAGTTTTTGTTCAATAAAATAGTTAGTCGTCTGTATTTTCAAGTCCATCGTCTGTATTTACATTGCCCCACTGGCAGCTAAAATCCACGCCTACACTATCGAGCGTGTATGAACTGTGACTACTTCTATATTGCTGATTAGCTGTTGTGCATTTCACTCTCTGACTGAAGGCAGTCGACCAATCGCAACAGACTGTCATCGGTCCAATCAGCGCAGATTAGCTTCGCGCTAAGGAGGGGATTGGGAACAAATGAATCACTGGACGATTTTCAAACAGGAGTCGCTGGGATAATTAGGTAAAAATAAATGCAGATTATAAGACCATGAAAGTGTTTTTTGACCTTGCATGCATATTAGACTGTTGTTGGAGACCCTTACAACCAATATATGACCCTATTTCATGTATAATATGGGCTCTTTAATATAAAGTGGGACCTAAAACTGATATAAAAATGAAAAGCATGTAGTTTGTCGCTTCCACCTAAATAGATGAACAGTTTCCTTCATGTTTCCTTTGCTTCGATACCTGCCCCAACACCAATCGATTGTATGGGACTCAGCATTTTTTACAGTGTTGCACCTAACATGACCCCGAAACAGGAGAGAGAGCGAGAACAGCAGAAGCACAAATATCTCTGCACATTTTTTCCCAGGTTTGCACAAACACCTGAGGCGCACACTCCTGACCACATGCCAAAAGCCAAACCTGCGAGGCGTGCAAAACAGACGGATGAATCACGGCTGCTAATGCACTCGTTAAGGCGTTACGAGAGGCAGACGTGACCCAAGAGCGAACGCAAGGATCCCCCTGCAGACTGTCATTTCTCAAAGAGACGAGGATTATGCAATGCAGAGACACACCTGGAGACTAAACACCACCCGAACGCATGACAGAGAAGAAATAACGGCAGTGGGGGGAGAAGAAGCTGAGAGAGTGCTTGGAAGAAGTGAAAAGTGCCTGCCCTCTTCCTTCGGGATTGGCAGAAGAGGAGGGTTGCATCCCGCTGGATGGGAGTAAAAAAAACACAACGCAGGACCACTGACAAGAGGGCTGAGCCGTCTTCACTGCTCTGATGTCACCAAACACATGACCCAGCCTCTCCAGTAACAGCCCAGTCAGGAGGGGAGACAAAAAAAAGTGTGTTTTAAAGCTTACACATTTTTGGATTGCGAGAATGTCTCATTCCCCTCACAAACAACCACAGAACCACAAGTGCGGTGCAGGAGATTTCCCCAGGACGACAGGAGGGAGCCACTGGGGCGTAAATGGTTAATCGGAGCGGGTCAACCCCAGTCACAGAGACCCAACGAGTCAGTAAGTACGCTCTAACCACACTCGTATATGCCGTATTTCCATCCGCTGATATCTGAACGGTCTCCTCAGACCGGAGCGCGTGTGTTTGTTTGTTCCCTTCCGATGCCTTGATATGATTTGTGCTCCCGCTTTAGGACTTCGAGGGTCACCACGACCTGCAGAAGAGGAGAGAGCCAACGTGTGGCTATGGCGTCTAACAGTCTTTTCAGCTCGGTGACTCCGTGTCAGCAGAACTTTTTCTGGGGTGAGTGCTGCGAGAAATTATTTTCATTTCACTGTGGTTCAGCGCCGGGTCACACAGAAGTCAAGCAGGTCGATAACCGATGGCGCGCGCGCATTTACATTTCAAAGTCAGGGTGTTTACGTTCGCGCGGATGCTGAGATGCTGACATGTTTGTGTAGGTTAAAAACACATATGCGGGACACAGAGGAAAACCCTTCTGGATGTATAAACATTCACTCTGTTTCAATTTACAGAGCTGCATTAGAACAAGATGTTGGAAAAACTGCAGCTCAGAGTGGAATCGCTTGATATCGTGCATGGTGGTTGATGCTGATTGATTAATGCACAAACGAGGGAGCTGATATTCATTAATGTGAATTAAAAGCTTAAGCAAACATGGGTTTAGTTTTGCAAGGAAATGAAATGCCAAGCTTTTAAACAAAATACACAGCCATGATGCGTCTATGAAAGTTCTGTACATTCAGAAAGAGAGAGTCCAGCATCATACAACGCACACACTCACACACACACAAAAAAAAAAGCCACATGTAAAGCACAATCTATGCAAAACCGATTTGAATACCTCAGCTATTCAAAATATACTAACATGTAAAGTCCAGACAAATCCCCGGTCTTATCACACGGCATGTATGGAAATGAAAACGCAAAGCGCTGTTGACAGAGCGATCAGAGATCGTACTTACAGTATTTTCCTCATCAAGTGTCTCATGTCGACATAATCGGAGGGCAAACATATGGAGGCAGGATATTGAGCCCGAGCCAGACAGCGTGAGCTATGGTTTTGTCATCACTGCCGGCGACATCGAAGTGGCGTCTTTAAAACACGAGGCCGCAGGGGCGCATCACACCTCACACACACTCCTCTAAACGATACACATTACAATATTAACAGCTTTACATAATTGCGGGCAGTCTTATTTAAGAAAACGCATATGTTTAATTTCTGGAAACTTAAAAAAATAAGGAAAAGAGCTTCCATAGTAGCTAAAACACATACAAATGCTTTAATAGTGATGCTTAGCTTTGTTTAAGAAGGAAAAAAAAACAAAAATGGTTAGTAAACAGGGTTTATTACAAAACTCAAGGATAGTCTATAATGTTGAAAATCTTAAAGCATGTGATTTAACTTCTGGAAACTTTAGGAATTTCTAAAAACAATAAGGAAACATTTCTTTTTAGTGTCCTGCACTGATTTAAAGAACTTCCATAGTAGGTAAAACACTTACAAATGCTTTAATAGTGATGCTTAGCTTTGTTTAAGAAGAAAAAGAAACGAAAATGACTAGTAAACAGGGTTTATTTCAAAACTCAAGGAGAGTCTATAATGTTGAAAATCCTAAATGGAAAAACATTCAATATCTTGACTTATCCTTTAAAGCTAAAAATCACTTAAGCACATTTTCTTTTACTGATTTATGTTCAGCTTAGTTCCGACGTTTCACAAACATGCAAACTGAAGGCAGATTTGTTGTTGTTGTTGACAAAATCCTCTACAGAAGGGGTCTATAAAAGTTATTGAGGTCCGACATGAAATACTGTTGTTTTACAGAAATCTATTTAACATATAAACCCCCTATAAGCCAAAAATCACTATACTAAACGCCTCATTTTTCATCTTTATCCATATTCAGCTTGTAGTTTAGAGGTTTTTCGAACATGTAATTAAGCCAATTGAACGCAGATTTTTGAGAAGTGCACTTCAGAGAAGGTCTTTAAATATTTTAGAAGAGGATCCAGCATACTGCTGTTCTTGCACTGAATTGAAATAAAACTTTATGATTTCTCAGCGAGCTAAACAAATATCTCATAAAAGCAAAATCGATGTACGTTTTATACCGACTGTATCATCATTTTCTGGTTGAGATGCATAGAATTAATCATTCATTCGAATTTTTTTTTTATATTTACAATTGACTAACAGCATTTTAATGTGCAATTCACACTATTTACAAGACTATAAAATTAATGCATTTTTAAAATATCTGTTTACTAATAGTTAGGATTTAGGTATTGGGTAGGATTAGGAGTTTAAAATTAGATCATACTTTATAAGTATAAATAAACAGTTAATATCTACTATATAACCCTTGAATAAATATTAATCCATATGAACTCAGATTTGTTTAGAAATGCACTTCAGAGAAGGACTATAAATATTTTAAAGAGGATCCAGCATACTGTTGTTCGTGCATTCGGGAAATAAACCTAACATTCTGATTTCTCAATGAGCTACACAAATATCTCATAAAAGAAAAATCATTGGATTTTTTTATATTTATCATACAGTACTTATCATTTACTGGTTAGGATGCATAGAATTAATCATTTATTCCTTTTTTTTATATTCACATTTGACTAACAGCATGTTAGAGTGCAAGTTACACTATTAACAAGACTATAAGCTTAATAAATTTCTAAATATGTGTTTACTCATAGTTAGGGTTTATTTATTGGGTGGAATTAGAGATGTAAAATAAGATTATACTTTATAAGTATGAATAAACAGTTCATATCTAAATAATAAGCAGGTAATTGCTACTTAAGCTACTTATTTGCTACTTATTTTTTCTTTTTTGCTAATTTAATTTTTATTTATCTTATTATTTTGCCAGTATTGTCCCATTGAGATACAGCAATATCTCTTTAACCAGAGAGTCCTGGTCAAGACAGGCAGCATAATTACAAAAATAAATAAATAAATAATACATGTCACAACACAGACACACACAAAAATAGTAGAAACCATAATCAATTGTTAAAACATGTGCACTGTTCTAAATTTAAGGTCTTTAAAATATTTTTGAATATAGTGACAGATGGTACAGATTTCATATGTAGTATATCTTGACTCTGTGTGGAAAAAATTACATCATAAGTAAGAGTATATCTGTTGATTGGGTACTGTAAGTATTTGAAAAGTACTTTAACAAATTACATATATCCTGTGGTAATTTACCAACCAAAGTTTTAGAAATGAAAACTAAAATATGTTGTTTTCTCCTTAATGATGTCCATGCTGTCATTTTCTATAAATTACAGTGATGTCTGCATGCAATTGAGCCAGTGACAAATATTAAGGCACTATGATATACAATATCCAATTTTTTAAAACATTGAGAGATGCATGCATTAAAAGTATATCACCGTAATCAAGAACTGATAGAAGTATGCTCTCAACTAAACATTTTCAAGCTGCGAAGGGGAAACATTTGTTTTTAAATGAAAATGAAAACCTAATGTTGGTTTGCGTTTTTTTTAATGCTGTCAATATAATAACTAGAAGTCAACTTATCATCAAGCCAGACACGTAAATATTTAAAGGACACAACTTGTTCAGTCTGTGCACCATTTAAAGTTTTATTGTGAATTGCTACTTAAAGGGTAACCCCTAAATACATTTTATATTTGCTTGAGGATATGGTTTATGTACTCAAAAATGTATATATTTACTGCTTGTTCAAGCTACTTTTTTAAAATGAGCTGAATTAACAACTCTTCAGGCTTTTTTATATAACTTAACAGTTTTTTGTTCAGTCAACTTAAATATGTAAAAACAATTAAGTATTAACAGTTATACTTATCAACTGAACAATTTACTAATCAATATTATTGTATGGGATTATGAACTAACAATAAAGAATACTTCAACAGCGTTTAATAATGTTAATATCCTCATTTACTAATATATTTTTAATATTGATAGTTGTGTTTAAACAAAATGGTAACACTTTAGAATAAGGCTATATTAGGTAATAATAATGCATTCACTAACATGAACAACTAATGAACATCACATTTATTAAGGTTTCGGTATTGGGTAAGATTAGGAATGTAAAATAAGATCAAGCATTATTACGTATGAATAAAACGATAATATTTACGGTTAATATCTTAATAATAGGCAGGTAATAAGCCCAGTTAATACTGAGAATTGTTACTTGAACTAAAGGGTAATCCCTAAATGTATTTTATACGTGCTTGAGGATTTAGTTTATACACTTAAATATATATAAATGTATATGTATATATATATATATATATATATATATATATATATATATATATATATATATGTATATATATATTTGCTGCTTCTTCAAACTACTTATTTAAAATGAGCTGAATCAACACAATTCTTGAGGGTTTCTTGAGAAAACTTAATGGTTTTATGTTCAGTCAACTTAAATTTGTAAAAACAATCAAGTTAATTTAATTGATTTGTGCTGGGATAACATAACCCAGCCTTTTTACAGCGTAGTTAAAAAGTATTACCAGTAGGTTTGGGCGGTAATACGGTAATATGGCATACCGCGGGATGTAAAAATTGCAGCTGTGTCAGTTTCAATACCGTTATACCGTCATAAACAATGCACTTATATAGGAGACAAGTATTAAATATTACTTATTTAACACCTAAAATGCATATGCATGATTGTCATCACAGGACAGTGTGGAGGAGAGAGAGAGAGAGAGAGAGAGGTGAGGTTAGATGGCGAGGCGCGTACCAAGTGACCTGCTCTTGAAAAAGAACACAACCTCTGCAGTTTAACAGTATTTTGGGCTTCAACCAAACAAGAAGGGAGACGTGGTAAATACGAAATAGAGGTCTGCATTCCCTCTGCTGTACCGTGGGAGCCACAGGACCCGACCAGATTTCTTGCAGTGCGGGAATAAATTTTAGATTAAAGCAAGCGTGCACGCGTGGTTCCGCCTGGATGCAGTTTAAATGTGTGTGTTTGTGTGTGTGTGTGTGTGTGTGTGTGTGTGTGTGTGTGTGTGTGTGTGTACATGTTTTTGTGACATATCAGGACACAAATCTGTAAAATGACATAGGTATGACACGGGTGTTACAAAAAAAGAGGTGAAATATGAGGACATTGGTGACGTCCTCATTTGTCAAAATGCTTATAAATCCTACAGAATGAGTTTAATTAGAGAGTAAAGCTGCACACAGTCTCCTGTGATGGTTGGGTTTAGGGGTGGGGTGGGGGCAATACAAT